TTATTTTTATTTTTTTTATTTGCACACCTCTGGAGCCCATCTGTTCTTGTCTTTCACCTTTTTCCTTTTCAGTCACCACGTTGTACCTCTTTTCTTTCTTCGACTACCTCTCTCGCTTGTTCGCTGGCTCTCCTTCGTCTCGATGAATTCATAAAGAGACCATCTTCCCTCCTCCCCCGTCTTCATCGATCTCGAACCCGGCACCCTCCACCTCCCGGAGATCGTCTGATTGCCTCTGTCCATTCAACATAAGAACATCAGCTCCCCTCGTCCTTTGGTCCCCTTCACCTTGGGTGTTGTTGTCCACTTTGTTGATTTATTGTTGCACCTTGTTTCCTCTTCACAACTTACTTCACTTCTCCGGACACGCCGTCGTCGCTGCTCGCCAGAGACTTTTTTGATATACTCCCTCGGCGCACGTATTTCTTGTGTCGTTGTCGTTTTGCAATTCTCCTTTCCACTTCCACTTCGGTTCTTTTGGTCTTGTCCTCCTTCTTCACGCTCCCGAGCTGGCCTTCAAAACAAGTCACCCTTGCATCCCCAGTTGATCATCTCGTTTGGACATCTTGCCATCTTCTTTCTCGGTCTTGCCTGGCTTTGCAGATTCTACTGATTCCCGGAACGCGCAAATCGATTCCAGTACGCCCACTTACCCGGAACGGCCGTCGCTTGACACCACTTGGAGCCTGCTGGATCTACTCACCAGAGGCGTTTCTGCTTGGTCGCACTCTGGTCGATCACGCTTCCCAGCCCATCTTGAGCAGTAGTGTTTCGTCTATCCTGCACCAGCCCCTTTCTCTTCCTGGCTCTTCTCAGTTTTACTCTCTGGATTTTGCCATTCCCGGTTTCTCACTTGCCACCACCTGTCGTCGAACGACCCACGAAGTCGCCGTTTCTTCCCTTTTGCTGTTCTTATCGCGCCATCCTGTTCAACATATATAAAACGCCAACGCACACAGTCGTGTTTATATAAAGGCCCATCAAACGCCCTCCACGAACCGTGCCACAGACACTTTAGTCCGTGACCGTCGACTGCTTTTTGATCACTTTGTCACCCAAACTATCAGCAGAAACTCACGTACCGCTTCCTTTCCTCCCGTTCTCACCCAAAGACATGGAACTCATGGAGCTCGTTGATCACGAGCCCGCGCCTCGCCCATTCCGGTGCGACTGGCAGTCTTGCAACAAGGTACGTGAGGTGAGGGAAGAGACTGAGTGCGTGGTGAGAACGTTGCTCGTCGGCCTAACATCCTCGCAGAGCTTCAACCGCAAGTCAGATTTGCAGCGGCACTACCGCATACATACGAATGAGCGGCCATACCAGTGCAACACGCCTGGCTGTGGCAAGAGCTTCATCCAGCGCAGTGCCCTGACTGTGCACATCCGTACTCACACTGGCGAGAAGCCGCACATGTGCCAGCACTCCGGCTGCAACAAGCGTTTTTCAGACGTAGGTCGCCCTGCATGAGTATGACTCTGGAGAATGTAAAACGCCCCGGGGATCGTGTCGCTGACCACCGAGATTAGTCGTCGAGTCTGGCTCGCCATCGGCGAATCCACACCGGCAAGCGGCCGTACAAGTGCGCCCATGACGGCTGCTTGAAGAGCTTCTGCCGCAAGACCACTATGGTCAAACACCAGCGCCGCTCGCACCAGCGCGGCATTCACTCGTCGGAGCTGGACGACTGCACATCCGAGTCGGGCAGCGACGAGTCGCCGTCCACCCCCAAGAGCAGCGCCATGCACTGGCCGGCGGCACCACAGGGCATGGTCGTCAACGGCCTGCCGCACCACGCCCACGGCCTGCATCGCGCCCAGTCCTTTGCCGACTTTGGCCAGAACGTCAGCTACGGCATGCCACAGCACTTCGCCACGGCCGCCCAGCAGCAACAGCCCCACCACCGCCACAGCTTGTCCGGCGGCCAGCATGAATACAGCCACCCGATCCACGACCCGGCCGCTGTCGGCGCGGTTGTTGTCACGACCATGGCGCCACACCACGCGGGCATGCCCATCCTGCACCGCGCCGCCAGCCTGCCGCAGCATCCATACTATGTGACGGATCAGAACAACCCGGGCGTGGCCACCATGAACACCAACTCGCCCATGTCCGCTGCTGCCCCGTTCCACCACCAGATCCCGCGCCAGTCAGTTGAGCGCATTGCCGTGGAAATTCCCTACTCGGCGACGCCCGGTCTGGCGGCGTCGATCCAGAGCAGCCCCAGCAGCTTCTCCACGTCAGGCCGCAGCCCCTCAACACAGGACGGCTTCTATACGCACCAGGCACCGCAGGCAGCTACCTATGCACTGCACACCGCTTCGCCCATCGAACACCATGCGCCCATGGTGCACTATGCCACAGCACCACCCAACCAACAGGCTCCCGTTCCCCAGCCGGCGCCGCAGCACCACGCCGCGCCGACGTCACAGCCGCAGCAGCACGCGGGTGAAGAGCAGTGGTACAACAGCGTGCCGTACCAGTCGCCAGTCGAGGTGTCTGTGCCGCAGATGGCACAGATTCCACCGTATGGCTCGACTGTGTACGACCCGTGGGGTGAGGCAAAGATTGAGTTTGAGACATCTGGCATTCAGATGCCAAGCGCACGCATCGAGCAGATGTAAACCAAACCACCTGTGTCGTCTATTTGTCTGTCAGCAGCAGCAACACACCAATGAGTCTCTTGTTTCTCCATTCCGCATAATATCTTCCCACCTTTTCTCTTGTCGCCTTCCGTCTCCGTTTTTCATCTTCATCGCCTTCTTTGTTATATTTTTGCGCCCCATCACAAATACCCCAGAGGATCTTACCTCGTGTAACATTATTGTTTCTTGTTCGGCCTTGCATCTGCATTTTCCCGCCTTCAATTCGATTTCGTCCTGCTCGCTGTGCTCTGATCGGATAGTCGGCGCTCTTTTGCTGACAACTTTTTTTTCCGTTCCCTTTTCGTGTTTTTGCTTTGTGCCGCTGGCGTTGCTTTGATGTCTTTCCTTTTCGGTAGTTACCCCTATTGCATGGCAATAATGACAGGCGGCCTCCATGACGAATGGCCAAGCGCTTTGATTTTCGTCTTCGCTTTTTCTTTTTCATTGTACTTTTTTTGCTTCCGCTGTTTGCCGCGTATTTTTGCATTTTGCATTGCCCCCACTTCCCACACTATTGCATAATTCTGTCCTTTGGCGAGAGAAGGAGACGGGCCTGGCGTTGCGTGCGTTGTCATTTTGTGTGTGTGTGTGTCGGTGTGTGTCCGTCGACTGTCGGCTGGTTAGGAAGAGGGGATACTGGCGTCCATTCTCTCGACATACGTTTCTTGTTGTATTTTGTTTTGGTCTTGCTATGCGTGTTTTCTCAGTTCTGATGTGACGCCACGAGCTATCCGAAGTTATTTGCTCTGTTATGACGACTTGGAAATTTGACGGCCAGCGATCTGTTTGACATTCCTCCTCTTATCACACCTGTTTTCGTTTCTTGTTTTGTTCGATGTTTTCCTATGTTGTGCTCGACTGGGAGGGAAAACGGTTGGTATCGGCATATGACCTGGAAAGGGGAAACTTGGAGCAACTCGGGATTGCGAAGAATAAAAAAAAAAGAGATCAAAGAGGGAAATCAGGGAACAACAATCATCATTTCGGCCGGCCGGGTCGATGCCATTGGGTTAATGTTAGTGGTGGGAAAGACAGAGACGGCGGTAGCAATAGGTTGAAGGTATTGCGTTTGTCTTTTTTTTTGTTTTTTTGTTTTCGTCGAGATCGCCTCTCGATGTGTATCATTACCATTTTGCTTTTTAGTTGAATATTTTGAATATGTTACATTCTTTTGAATGCCTTGTCGTCTCAACTCTCGCTGTATGTGTTGTTCGTCTGGTGCCTTGCTCTTTTCCAAAGTGAAAAGCAACATCGTTCCAGGCTCTGCTTGCTGTTTCTGTTGCTCGTTAAGTGGATGTGGCTACAAAGTACGCCCGCAATACTTGCGTCATGGTAGTTTTCTTGGTGCATACTGGACAAGCTTTTGAGTCGGCTGTGATGGCGTATATCCAATCTGAGAGGCAGTTCCGGGGACGGGTCCTCGAGCGGTGCCTCTTCACTTTATACAAGTTTGTCTTTTTCCTTTCGTCTTCTCTCTCTGGAATATTTCCACTGTCTTTGTTGTTGTCTTATAGGGGTGTGTCCGTTTTGTGTAAGTGGCGCGCAAGGGCTGTCTGCATTTTCATTTGTCGCTCATGTTGTCTCGCGAAGCGCCTTGCATTTGGCGACTGCCGGGCTGAAACGCCTTGCCTGAGAACACTGATTCGGCGATGGCGCTCTGAGACTTCATTCGTCGTGAAAATAAATATAGAATACAAAACAGCTGACGCACGCGGTTGAACGCAGCCCCGTCCTTAACGAGGGATGCGATATCACACCAAAAAAGAGGCAAGGCATGAATGTGTAAATAGAGGGCGGCTGCGGGGCTGCACCAACAGGAGGACGTGGTAATAACACTACAACCCGCACCGGGAAATCAGTTTGCATGGCATAATGCTCTTGATTAACAGCCCCGGATGAGGAGTGGCATCGAGAACCGCAAGAGACGATACGTATGTAAACAACATGTTTGATTTGATTCTGAGTTCTCACTTCGTAAGCACGTATTTGAAGCAGCGGATGTGGAATAAAAGACAATGGCATGAATATATAGTAAAATACGGATCAAATCATAGAGCCCTCCACCTTGTTCAACCAATAGCGATTTCCAGTTATTGAATCCCATTCGAAAAGGTATCAAAGGTAGTCAATGATAAACACGGCAAACACGACAAATATATCAAGAGGAAACTTCGTTTAGAAACGACAATAACAAATAAAAAGCAAAGGCATCTGGCCCAAACCTAGTTGAAGTGGTAGCAGCCATACCGACCAAATGAAATGCATGGACAGTAGGAAGAAGACGGCGGGGCATAAGAGTGGAAACAATTGAAATGACATTGTCGAATTCTGACAACACAAAGCGTAATGGTACACCATTAGAAATCATCACTGTCCAAGATGGCTCGTGACGGGAACAGACTGTCGTCAGTGCCGCTGTCGTCCGTCGACGGCGTGTTGGTTTTCGTTTGTGAAGCGGATGGCCGTATCGTTAGGCTCGACGAGGCGGTCGATGGCGATGCATACGAGAAGAGCTGCCGCGGAGGCTGCGTCGAGGGCATACTTGTCACGGTAGTGGCCGTGCTGGCCGTCTCTGCCGTGCTGCTGCTGAGAACGCTGGCTGTGCTGGTGCTGACTGTGGACGAAAAGGAGGCCGTTGTTGTGGCGGGTTTGCTGCCGGGCCCTGCTTGCTTGGGGTTGTGGTTGTGGTCGTGGTCGTGGCTGGGGCCGTGTGGAAGAGGACTTGCACATCGCCGCGGAGCCGTCCAGGACCGCAAGGTTGTGCCCCTTTCCTCTTCCTCGTCGTCGTCTCGCATGAGCAGCGGTGGCAGCTCCAGGGACTCGATGCTGTCCACGTCGTCCTGTTGTTTTGGTGGCGACGGTGGTGGTGGAAGGGCCCGCGTCGGCGGTGGTAATGGAGGCAAGATGGCCTCTTCCCTCGTCATACGCGTCGTGGTCTTGGCGCTCCTTTGGCCGGCGGACGGTACCGAAAACGCCGTTGCCGGCATACTAAAACTGCGCCCTCCGGGGCCGTACGAGTGGAACACCGGAGGAGCTGGCGGCGGGTCTGGCTTGACAAGACCCGGGATCTCAAGAGGCCCCTCGTGTGGCCGTTTGGGGCGGACCGGGCTGACAGGACCGCGCATAGTCATATTCGTGCTGGACGTAGCTTCAGAGGAACCTGTACCGCACGACCCTGTGATGCTCGCCAGCGGCATCATTGGCTCGAAGGCGTCGGTCGTCACTGCATTGCCGTACAGACTGGTCGCCGGGATGATGGTCGACGATGCATTAGTCACGGTCGAGTAGCTACCGTAGCTAGAGCGCAGGCCACGGGCTGCATTGCTGCAGCCCAACCCGTCGGCAACACTCGTGGAGAAGATGGAGTGTGGGAGTGGAAGTGGAGGGAGAGGCGGCACGGGCTCTCGATCCGCGTCACCGTCGGCGGCTTTTTGAAAATTGTAGAAGCCGTGCTTCTGGTCCTGCCTCTTCTGCTGTTCTGCTCTCTGCTGTTCCTGCTGCTTCGATGGCCGGATCGTCGGTGTCCGCTCGCGCCGCGGCTCCAGCTTGTTTGTCGTCGGTGCGCAGATGGGCGAGCTGGGGAAGTAGTAGGGCACAAAATTGCCGTTGTAGCCATAGTAGCCGTAGTAGCTGCTGCCACTATTGGCGGCCGATGCACGGTTGCGGCTGTGGCCCGGGCGGAGGTCCTCGTCGGCATCCGTATCTGGCCGACCTCGGGCACTCATCTGCGTTGGGCTTGGCGGCGGCGACAGCGATGTCAACGGCGGTGAGATGCTGCGTTCCCGCTGCTGTCGGGCAAGGAATGTTGGAAGGACACTGCGTGCGACACGCTCGGCTGTCCGAGGCGGCGTGCGAGGGTCGGGATACAACGTTTGCGATGTCCGTGTTTTTCGTGCTTTCCAGAATGCGGCAGAGGAACGCGAGCGTTTTTGTTTTGGCGATGCCTGTGTTGTCGACTGGCCGTCCACCACGGACACACCCCGTACCGAATTGCACGAATTGGCTGCTGAGATGAGCGGCGTCGGCACCTCGTCGCGATGGGTGCCTCGACCGTGGCCGGGATGGAAAAGTGTCGTACGGACACGGGCGGCAAGGCCGATGCTACCGTCGTTGCTGGCACCGTGCGAGGGTCGACGGGACGGGCCGTCCCCGCCGGTCCCATTTCCACATCCCCCTCCGCGGCGATGCTGGTACGACTGTTGGCCGAGCATATTGCTGCGTCGGCGGCGCAAAACGCAATGGACAATGCCGGCGATCAGAAGGACTGCCACGACAATACAAACGACAATAGCGGCCTTGACGCCGGCGGATGGCCCACGAGATAGACTCGAGGGTGATTCCGAAGCGCTGCTGTCGTTGTCGGTGCTGCTATTCGCTCCGGGCGATCCTGTTGCTGCTGGCGCCGAAGCAAGGTACCCCAAGGATAAGGAGGTTGCCGCAACGGGTGTTCCGGCGGCTGTTGTCAGGTGCTGGCTGTTTTGCGGCGTGGCAAGTGCCGTGCCGGCCGCAGCGGGGCTTTTCTGTCCATTAGTGGTGGTGGTCATGGCTGCGGTCGGTGTTGCTGTTTTTGTTTGCGTCTCGGTAGCGACGGCGCGGTTGCGGCAAGGGTTGGCCGACGGGCCGGCTGCGAGCAAGCTGCTGCAGTAGTAGTTGGCAGGCGGTGGGCCTGGGTCGTAGATCAAGGAGAAGCCGATGCTGGCAAGTTAGCGCAGTTGCACATGGACAGTACGTGAGAAAGGAACTCTACCTTTGGCACTGGTTGATGATCATATCGACGTTGGCTAGAATGGTGTCAATAAGTGGTGCTGCCACCCTGTTCAACCACAGTCAACAACTACTTACGATCCTGGCCGGCACCGCCGCGGCTGTCAATCCAGACGCCGCAAAAGGCCGAGTCACACCAGTAAAGCTGCCAGAGCTCCTGTTGGGCAGCCGTATTGGACGAAAGGAGCGAGCAGGTATCAGAGAGCGATGGCGATGACGTCGAGGACGAAGACGAGAGAGAATCAAGGAACCCTTGACGGCACGCGTCGATGCACTTCTGCGCGTCGCCGCCGTCGTAAAAGGTTGTCGACACACACCGGCGGAGGGCTGGGCGGGGAGATGGCGAGATTGGCAGTGAAGATTGTATATTGTCTTGATCAGAATATCGAACGCCGGCCAGGGACTTGCTGTCATCGGCATCGATATCGTGGGCATCATGGACGTTGCGATCGTTGATGCTCTTGCTGCCACTCCCGTTGTTTCCTCCTCGGTCCAGGGGACAAAGACACTGGGCTGGTGTCTCGGGTAGGCCCATTGTTGATGTTCTCGGCCGTTAACCAGGCCGTAGGGGTTGGTGATGAAATAAACAGGACACGAGTAGGTGGAGAGAAGGAAAGGTAAGAGAGGGGGAAGAAGACAAGGGGAGTGACGGGGGCAGGCGAGAGAGGTCAGGAAGCGGACGGAGATGTGAGGGACGCGGGACTCAATCAGCAACAGCAATCACATACAATGGAGCAATGTTTTGAGACAGGAGAGACAGTCAGGCAGGAAAGCATAGAGGCAGACAACAAAGGGGGTGGATTGCAGATAGATTGATCCAGTAGCGAAGGAGGATGAACGTTGGAAAAATGAAGCGAGGGAAAGTGAAGACAGGAGAAAAAACAAGTGACAAAGAAGAGACACAAAAGGGAGCCAAAGCGAGCGAAGAGGTGGATATGTTTTTATTCACGTGTAACGAAAGCCAAAGGGCTGATGAAGGGTGGGAAACGGGGAGAACGGGAAGGCGGACAGTACGACTGGCATGGCCACTGGACCAAACAAGAAACAAGAAACCTACAAACGACACACAAACCGGGAATGACAGCACATGAATGCACACGACGGGAAACATGGGCTGGCCCGAACATGTGTGTTATGAACAGCAGGCAAAGGAAGTCAGTAGAGGCGAGTTCGGCGGAGTGAAAGACTGGCAGGCAAATAGGCAGAGGAATCGATCTGATCGAACGGACAGAAAACAAAACAAAACATGAAAAAAGAAACGACAGAACAGCAACAGAGCAAGCTGAACATGGGACCCTAACAAGTACAGGCGGGCCAAAGACAAGAGCAGAAAGTCAGGCGAAGGAGTAATATAACTACGAGAAGCAGGGAACATGGATCGACCTGTCAGGTCAAGCGGTCAGGCGATATGAAAGCAGAACAAGAAGCATCCAAAGACATGCGAAATCACAGAATCAGAGAAATCAGAGGAAATAAAAAAGTCAGAGACACCAGAGACAAGAGGCGGTGTCTGTCCAAAAGAGGCAGTGTGGAGCGAGAAGGCTATTTCCTAAGCGAGAACCAACACGAGCAAACAACGGGAGAAAACAGGAAACGAAGGGTGGTTTGTCCGGTGTAACGGGCTATGCCGTCAGTGGCAACTGTGGTCCCGGGCCATGTCACCGGCGGTATGTCAGGGGGGACATGGGAGAAACAGGCAGACAGGCAGACAGGCAGATATTGACGTCCGAGACAGCATGAGAGACCGCAGCGTGAGACAGGCAAGAAGAAGTCAGTAGGTGGTGAGAAATCAAGACGAGGAAGCTATATAAGAGGGGGGGAGAGTGACCCTTCACGAGGCCACCTTCAAGGAAGTTTGTGTTATTACAAATGGCCCGGGAGTCAAATGCAAAACGGTATCATGAAAATCGTTTACCGACGCTGTAATCGTTACTGTTTGTGTTTGTAGACGGCACAAAATTAAGTGGAGAGCGAAAGACAAACGGGAATGCAAAGGCAAACCAAACATAAACGCAGACTGTAAACAGCATGAAGGGGACAGAAATGTCTGCATCCGAGCGTTGCGTACAGACTACATCCAGGCAAGCAGAGGCAAGGGAACCGTCCGTGTAACACGGCTCTGTGCGTTTCCGTCTGACGAGGTCGAGAGGAAAGCAGAGACTGGCCGTAAAGTTCATTCAAGGGGGGGGGGGGAGGAACGAGCATTGAAAAATTCACAAATAGGACACAGACAGGACACAAACAGGAAACGATAGTACTGTACGACATACAGCCACTCGATAAATGCATGCTTCCGTTTGCGTTGTCTTTGGCTGACCTCGATACCTGACGTTGGCGGATGTAAACCAGGATAAGCCTAACAAGTCAAGGCGATGACACGGCTGATTTGTTTGTGTAAACAAAGAACAAGCATCTGGACGGTGCCCTTCATCTTCGTTGCTTTTTGTGTACAACAAAGGAAAGGGAGAAACGCCACATCGGCACACAATCGCTGCAAGGTACGAGCTGTACCATTGTCAGCTAGTCGTCGCCCCGTTGCCTCGTTGTGTTGTTCCCCTCGCATTTTCCGATTTTCGCTGCGTTCGTCTTCACCGCACCACGAGAAATCTCCCTTTGAAAAAGCATGCTGTGCAAGACGAGCTATTTCGGCGTGCTGCTGGACGACAACGGGGAATAAAGAATGGGCACTGAAAGGTGACGGGGACAAAAAATGTGTAATTTGGGCTCATCGCGGTGTGTCCAATGATTGTGCCGACTAGGCGACCTGCCACAGAACGGCGGGCACTCTTATTTATCCTGTATCTCCCACTTCTCTTCTTTCCGAAGGGCGCAAGGATATTTCAGCCAGGAAACCTGACAGACCGGGCAGACAAAACAAACAGGGGCTTGCGATCTCGCTGTCAGAAACAGAGGACGGCCAAATGACAGGTATTTTGTTTGTCAGTCTCTCCGACGGTGGCAGATACTGTGCCTCGTTGTGTTGGGTCGTGCATTACTTCGGCCTGGTTGTTCCTGGGCGAGCAGGCCGCACAGATTCTGACAAAGTTCGTGGGACAAACCTAGGTAGGAGTCTTTGCATGCTATGGCAATACAGAGGACACACGTCGCATCCAGAATAGGAGCGTCGAAGGTGTGTGCCCATGCAGGAAGCCTCTTGAAGTCCGGCCGCCGCTGGTCGGGCCCTTTTGGCCGGCTTCTTAATGGGGGTCGCAGGGCGGAACTGGTCTCATGCGAAATATTAATGAAAGGGGCCGTGTGTTAGTCGCACCGACATTCTTTGGAGTCTTGTCCAGATCTCTTTCCCTTCTTTTCTTTTTCGTGACGTTGCTTATCGTAATCTTCTTATTGACCCTATTTCTATTCACGACATGGAAATGTCGCAGTGGAGCGCCGCAGATGATTACGAGTGATTGAAAATGGTCGCGCACGGCGGGTGGATGTCCTTGTCTCTAGATCTAGATGGATCTAGACAGGCTCCATCACAGCCATTGGTTGATACCCGAACCCCTTCGGCCAGGATCCTGCATTGTGTTATACTCACAGTTATTTCGTCGAGGCGACCTTGCTTGGCGATTGGTCTAAAGCAAACGTGAAAGGGCCAGGGCAGACATGCAGTCCTACCAATGTCCACGCTGCCGGGAACCAGCCTCGGGCTTCTTTGGCCCCTGGTCTCTCGCTTTCACTATTTTGGTCTTCTTCTCCCGTATGTGTTAGAATCCTTCCAAACAGAAGAATACAAGAAAAGGCTCAATAATCCTCCCCTCCTCCCCTCCTCCCCTACCCTCAAGCTCGTATCTCTCGTCATACCACACCTCCGGCTGCTTGCTCCTGATGGCTGCCTTTGGTCGCGTTTTGGTGGGTTGACGGGTTGACTGTGTCCAGGGTGATTTCCCTCGTGTGGATGAAAACAGCGGTCAAGAGAGACCTTCTAGAAGGCGACGATCGTTGGCATTGGAAAGCTCCAGACGGCCGTCTCATACCACAATCCGCACGTCAAACACACAGTGCCAAACGCCCGGTGCAAACGTCTTGACCTGCTCGACGTGTTCGACGACGGCCACGCACACACCCGGCACCTCGCTGGCCCACATCGCAACCCGTGCCTGGATCTCCGCCTGCCGGCTGCTCAGCTCCTCCACACCGACATTTTCATGGAGGTGCAGCCAGCCGGTCCTGCTACTGCTGCTTCCTGTTTGTGATGGACGGCCCACGACAGCATCAAATGCTGTCCGCCATGTGTCGCGACTCGTTGGCAAAAGTCCACAATTGGCGTGGACGATGTCGCCGAGCGTCTGGCCTGGCGGTGAGGAAGACGCCTCGGATGCTGCTGTGCGCAATTCGGCAAGCCGCCGTGCTGCATGTACGTTGTCCTCGACAAAGATGACAATCTCGGGCTGCTTGTTGTCGCCATTCATCCTGTCCTTTTCAGTGTCTTCTGTATTACTCGTTTCGTCTGCATCGTCCTCGTTTGCCAGGCTCGAAAACGCCACATCGGCCGCTGGTCGTGCCAGGTCTTCCGCACGCCGTACGACGCGGGCCGACCAGCCGTTGCGCGCCGCTCCTCGCCGTAAGGCCTCCGCACTCCATGGGTTGAGTTCCCACCCGAGCACGCGCAGGCCGCGCTGGGCATACGAGAAAACAAAGTAGCCGATGCCCGCGTAGAGGTCGACGGCCCAGCCGTTGTTGGGGTCGCCATGCTGCCAGTCCAGCAGCCGCGCCTTTTCCTTGATGTTGCCCCGGCTGAACATGGACCACCGAGGCGCCCAGGTCTGGTAGAGGCCGTTCTGTTTGGTGCTGACCCAGAAGGCGCGCCGGAAGTCTGTGGCCGTCGGTGGACCACCGTTTTCCGTGGTGGCCGGGCCAAAGTCACCGTAGAGCAACCGCAGGCCGGTCGGGGACCGTAAAATGTTCTCTGCATCGTCTGTGCCGCTCGTACGAAGCGGGATCCCCTCATTGACGGCCAAGTGTGTCAACTGCGCGCTGTTGACGTCGCCCTCGCCCAATTCCGAGCCGCGCGGTGGCGGTGACAGCGCCAGTAGAATGTCGCGCCACAGTTGGTCCTGCTGTTCGCGCGACACGGCGGCCAGCACGTTCTGCCATAGCGGCGCCGCCGGTGACGTGGGCGAGGCCACGGACGCTGTCGAAGTCGATGCCAACATCGACGTGGAAGTCATTGTTGGTGCAGCACCAGCGTTGAAACCGAAGCTGAAGCTGCCCGTCGGCAGCAGCACCATGGGCTCGTAGACCACCCAGCGCTTGGGCGCCTGCGCCACCAGCGTCTCGATCGACCGCTCTGGCAGTGACACGTCCGCCAACAGGGGCTGCCCGGGCAGAGTCGGCAGCACGCTTGTCAGCCAGCAGCGCACGACGGCTGCGAGTCTGCTTTCGGGCTTGGGCTTCTTGGGCCGGCCGTCCTTGGCATGGGCACGCCCGTTCAGCTGCCTTGCTGGTGTCCCTGGTTCTTCTGTAGGCATAACATCCATGTCGACCTCCATGCCGTTAACGACGCTCTCTTTAAGGGACTGGACAGTATGTATCTCGTCCATGCTATAAAATGCCGTTCCTAGCCAGTAGATGTGGATGAGGGTCAAACTGAGCCGGTGAATAGTCTGGTGATGCTCTCATCTCGTATGGTGTTGGGTTTTTCTTTAAACGGACCTGTTAGTCGCCGCACCGTCTACTCATTCCCTGACGCTCTAAATAGGCGTGTCGTTTGTCATTTGACATCGCATTTCAAGCTTCGACTTTGGGCCCTGGATGTTTAAGCCCGAAAAGTTTGGGCTTTTTGCTTTGAAGCTTAGCGTCATATCAAATGGTAGCGGCGAGTCAGTGAATATTAGTGTGGGGAAGGCGCCGGAGTGTGTCTCCAAGAGAGGGGAAAGACCGACCGACTCCACGACTGAGGCAAGGGAAGGTGCAACTGAACTGAACCAAGCCTCGGCTCGCCGAGTTAGGCAAGAGCTGGTCGCACTCTAAATAAGAACAAAAAGCTGGGGTCGCCTCCGAGTTGCGAGTTGCGGCACTCCAAAATGTAGAAGCGTCCTTTTTGTTTATTGTTTTTATCTGTTCAGCCTTTGCTTTTTCTTTTCCCATCGTCCACCGATACCAATTGTCACAATGGCTCCCAAAGATTACCCGCCCATCCACCAGGTCGCGCAAGACTCCACGGAGCCGCGTGCCAAGGGCAAAGTCGTGATCATCACCGGTATGCAGCTATTTACCCGCCTCTGTGCCTCAACGTGTAGATGAATAGACAGACATTAGTGGTGCTTGTGTACTTGTGTCCCGCGTGTGTATAGCTGTACTGACCCGCAAACTTCCCAGGCGCAAACTCCCTTCTCGGCATTGGCCGGGCTTCGGCGCATCAGTTCGCCCAGAACGGCGCCCTTGCCGTCTACCTCTGCGACTTCGCCGACGACCATCTTGCTGCCCACAAGCAGGACCTCGACCGCCGCTTCCCATCCGTTGATATCCACGTCCGCAAGTTTGACGCAGCCGACGAGGCCGCCGTCCGCGACGTCATCTCCGACGCCCTGCAGCGCTACGGCCGCCTCGACGTCTTTTTTGCGAATGCCGGCATCCTGGGCCCCCAGACCGTGTTCAGCAACGTCGACGCCGACGGCTTCATGCAGACCTTGCGTGTCAACACCCTGGGCCCGTTCCTAGCGGCCAAGTACGCCGCCCCGGCCATGCAAAAGACGTCCGCCGCCAAGCCTGTGGCCGGCGGCAGCATTGTCATGACAGCGTCCGTGGCTGGCATGCGGTCAAACGCCGGGTCGACGCCGTACTCGGCCTCGAAGGCGGCCGTCATCTCGCTGGCCCAGACGCTGGCGTTCCAGCTGGTCGGCACGGGCGTGCGCGTGAACGCCGTTTGCCCCGGGCTGATCGAGACGGGCATGACGTCGGTTGTGTTTGAGGCAGCGAGGGCGCGCGGCACACAGGGCAAGATTGGCCAGCTCAACCCGCTGCGGCGCGGGGGCCACGCCGACGAGATTGCGCGTGCGGTGCTGTTCCTGGGCAGCGACGATGCGAGCTACGTCAACGGCCAGGCATGGGCGGTCGACGGCGGCCTGAGCGCGGGCCACCCCTTTGTGCCAGGTAAGCTGGCGTAGGCCATGGTGTGATATAAAGGACGAAGCATGTTGTGTATTTGTATTTTGGAGTTTGTTCTTCGTCTTTTGGGTTCCTATTCTGGCCTATCTGCAAATGGAAAACGCCGAGACACCCTGCTGTACATATATGACACCGGCAAGACACCGGCACTTCAGCATTATGCGGTACGCATGCGCATTGCACCGTCACACCCATGTCCTCCTCTATCAACACTCTTATAGAGAGTGCTGCCGCGAAGTGGAATTCTCGTCTCGTCGTGTATTTCTCCAATCTCCATCACCGCTACCATCTAAATTAGACCCGGGATCACAGCATAGCGACGGCCCACCTGGTCGGCACCGAAGCGCTGGATATACCACTGCCGGCCTTTGACGGCCCGTGGCAGCATCGCAAACACCTCGTTGACTACAAACATGCGCGCCGGCACACAGCCCCAGCCCGCCGCCATGTAGAAGCCCGTCCACTCCACCCACTCCACAAAGTAGTGCGGGTACAGCATGTACTTGAACAGCCCGGCCTCGGGGATCTGGTAGTGCTTGCCCACCTTTTCAAGCGGCGTGCCGTCCTCCATGGCTTTGCGCGCGCGCCGCTGTTCCTCGCGCCGCCGGATCTCCCGCAGCTCGTCGTCGTGGTAGTAGTTGGCCGCCAGTCCCAGATAGAACACGGCAATGCCGACCACGAACTGGAGCGTGGGCCAGGGCGACAGCTGCGCGTCCCACTCGGCAGCCGTCGTGGGCCCGTAGGCGGCAAGCCAAGAGCCTATGCTGGTCGCGTTGAAGAGCTGGAAGATGAGGCCTGCACACCACACCAGCAGGTGGATGGGCGACATGGACGGCGCCATGAGCGGGTACATGATGGCGCGGTAGCTGTAGTGGATGACAAAGAGGCCGGCGAGCACCTTGTTCTGCCAGGGCAGGTCTGAGATGCCCTGCTCCTTGGTGAGCGTGCCCATAATGTAGACCAGCGTCAGGAAGCCGGGGCTCTCCATCGTCATCCAGGCGATGCGCCCGGGGATGTTGAAGCGGCTGTCAACGGACGTCTTGCCCATGCCGTACCAGCTGATGATCCATTGCAGCGAGGGGAACTGGCGGTCAGCGGGAAATGACAGAATGCGGGTGGGGGGAGGGGGGGAGAGACCGCCAGAGCACTCACAATTGGGTAGAAAGTCCACAGTCTCAAGATGAAATCGTAATGCTCCCGCGTCGGGGGGATCCAGCCCTCGATGAGCGCCATAGTAGGCCGCGGAGTCAGAGAGTCACAGGGCAGGGCCAGCAAGTGGCCAGTGCGTCTCGGCTAGCTGCTGCTCCCGTCGTCGTACACGCGAACGGAAGTGGGAGGTTGAGGAAGTTCTGCTTCTCGTGTAATCTACGAGAAGCCCGGCTGGCCCAAAACAAATCCAGGACACAAAAGCACCGGCAATGTCGAGTAAGCGGTGTCCAAGAAGAGAAAGCAAAGCACGAATATTCAAGAGGTCGTAAACATATACCGGTCAAGACGCCGGTTGTTGCCAAAAGGAGCGTCGCCAATGTCCATGGGAAGATGCGGCCGCAAATATCAATTTTTATGCTCCACGGCGAAACGCACCCAGACGTCAGTGCCTTGTTGCGCCAATCCCAATCGACGACAGAGACTATGTGTAAACATTGTTTTGCGCCTGCCGTCATGGGGCGGCCATGCACTGGAACAAAGTCAGCTAGCGCAGGTCTCGGCAATCGCGGGGTGCTAAGTGGGCTTGCAGTGGTGTCGTAGAAGGCAATCCGGTGCGGTTCCCCCCTGGAAACAGAACCTTCAGGCCTAATTTTGGCCACGCGACCAGCTGCTATCTTATGTTCCTAATTAAAGTACTTCTCTCTGCAGTCCCTCCAGCATTTTCTTCTTCTTTCTACTTGCGGGCTTGGTGAGTGGCCTCGATGACAGTCGCAATCATTATGAAGTCTTGACTGCAGCGTACAAGGCATAAGTGATATATTTTATTCGTTACACTTTATCCACCATAACTCGTGGTTCAACTACAGGAGGACCTTTCGGACCAAAGCACGTGACAGTCCCGGATACGGATCCTGTGACACAGCACGTGAAAGGTACAAAGTACAACGGATGGAAGGTCAAAGAATCCGACCACAAAGACAGCGCAAGGACGGGCCAGCATGCGCTAACGGTCGGAGTATTGGGCGATGCGGATTGGCTGGCGCGATGAATTGGCCAGCATCGTGCCTTCTGCCTGTCCCAACGGTTTCTGGTCTTGTCAGTGCCTGCGTTGCGCCTTCCGCTTCCAATCGATTCCGCCACCAGCGTCAGTGTTTTGGCACTCTCACGAACGCTCTTTCCATAACAAAGGAAATGTCCTGCCTACCTCCTGCCCTTTGCCGGCCCTGGAATCATCGCCAAGTATTTTGCTGTGCGACCACTGAATTTACTGAGTAACAGTTGTCTTTAGCGGACCGGGCACTGCAACTTAGGCCTTCTGTAAGCCATTTATGGGCACTTTGCTGCTGGCTGCACTTGCCCCAGCGGACCTGGCCAGGCCCAGTCACGATTATTACGGAACAGGCAGAGAGCCGAAATCGCGTCTGTGGAGCAACCGCCGCCCCCGGCCTCTGGTTTTTCAGCTTCCTTTGCTGTCCTTCGTCAACCTTCGTCCGATTCTCTTCTCTCCTCTTCTCTCCGTCCTCGTCCCCGGCCGCCAACAACCACCCCAGGACGACCCCGACGAACAATATCCCCTCCCCTCTTTACGCATCGCCATTTTACTTTCCGGTTCATTTCTCATCTTGTATTTTTCATTTGTACTTTTTGGCCGCTACTTCTTTGCATTTTGCGACGCCTTGCATCAACTTTCTTTCGTTCCTTACATTGCCCTCTGGGGACCACTCTTCTCCAACATACGGCCTTCGCTTTGCGACGACGATCTGTACGTTTGCCCGCATCACGCATTCTTTGTGCGCTACCGGCCTGCCTGTGGGCCCCGACAATCCGTTTCCGGGCCGAGCAGCAGATGCTTGCGTGTGCCTGCACCTTGCTTGTCCATGTGACTCTTTGCCTGTTGTTTTCTTGCTAACCATTGTTGCAGAACGGCTCAACTGCAATCGCCAACCTGCTTCCTACCTCAGGCCATACCATTTTCGCTTCGTAGAGTGCCCAAATCTCGGTAGCGTAATCGAGGACAACACGGTCGCCGACATCACCGGCCGCTGAATACGCCGCGCACCGATCGACGACATCGGCCCTTCATTCCGACTGTCCCGAACACAGCAAGGCTATTGCGCGTGTCTACCGAACCAGGCCGAGTCAACCAACGCCCGGTTGTTAGTTCCAGACATGCCGCAGGTTATGGGTGCCAACCCGATCCTGCGTCTCGCCGTTACTGGCGTTGCGCAGGCGGGCGCATCGAGACTCCTCCAGACAAGGACAATATCGACCTCCACCTCCACCGTACACCGTCTTTTCCGCCCCACAACGTCCACTGCCGGTCAACAGATGCGCTTTTACAGCGGTGCCTCTGGTCTGACGTCGTCGTCTCTGCGTGCGTCAACCGGCTCCTCGTTCACGTCAAGCCGGACCGCCGTGCCCTTCACGCAGGCCGCGCAGCACATGATGGCCCGCTTGCAGCAGCAGCGCCGGAGTGTTGTCCTGTCCGGCGGTATCTCCCGCAACCTTCTTGAGAACCGCGAGGCCGCCGCCAACCGCAACCCGAGCAGCGCGTCCGCCCAGAACGCCTTTTACCAGGTCCTCCTGAAGGCGAACATGCCCATGATTGTGATCGAGCGTTATAACTCGGGCCGCTTCGGCTCCAACGAGGCCACCACCGAGGCCTACCACCGCGCCCTGGGCATGATTAGCTCTACGCCCGGCGCTGTTCCATCGTCCGTGGCCGATAGCTCGGCCGTCGTGGGCGGCATGAGCGGCTCCGGCCTGGCTGCCAACAACTCCCAGCTGTCGGCCACCCAGCTGCAGGCCGTGGGCCAGGCGATTGCCGCGCAGCACCGTGGCGCGTCCATTGCTGTGAGCAAGGGCGCGCAGGGAACCGGTGCCAAAGATGCGCCGATCCACGTTGTGGTCGACCAGCCGATTGGCGACGTGCTCTTTCGATGGGTCAAGTTTGTCCTCTGGTTCTGTCTGTTCACGTACTTTAGTTTGGTCATGATAACGATGTTGATCGAGGGGCTGAACACGTTCAAACGTCCAACGGGCCGCTCAGACAACGAGGTCAAGGCCGAGAGCCAAAAGACCCGCTTCACGGATGTCCACGGCTGTGACGAGGCCAAGGAGGAGCTGCAGGAGCTCGTCGACTTCCTCAAGAACCCCGCCGGCTTCTCCACGCTCGGCGGCAAGCTGCCCAAGGGCATCCTGCTGGTGGGCCCGCCCGGTACCGGCAAGACACTTCTGGCGCGTGCGGTGGCCGGCGAGGCCGGTGTTCCCTTCTTCTACATGTCTGGCAGCGAGTTCGACGAGGTGTACGTCGGTGTGGGTGCCAAGCGCGTTCGCGAGCTCTTTTCGAGCGCGCGCTCCAAGTCGCCTGCGATTGTGTTCATCGACGAGCTGGACGCCATTGGCAGCCGTCGCAACTCGCGCGACGCTGCGTACGTGAAGCAGACGCTGAACCAGCTCCTGACGGAGCTCGACGGCTTCGAACAGAACAGCGGCGTTATCATCCTCGCTGCGACCAACTTCCCCGAGCTGCTCGACAAGGCGCTGACGCGCCCTGGCCGTTTCGACCGCCTGGTCAACGTGGATCTGCCCGACGTGCGCGGTCGCCTGGCCATTCTGCAGCACCACGCCACCAAGGTCAAGGCCGCCAAGGACGTCGACCTCAACTCGATTGCGCTGCAGACGTCCGGGCTGTCGGGTGCCGAGCTCGAGAGCATCGTCAACCAGGCGGCGATCCATGCGAGCAAGGCCAAGTCGCAGTCGGTGAGCAAGAAGGACTTTGACTGGGCCAAGGACAAGGTGATTATGGGCGCGGAGCGCAAGAGCATGGTGATCAGCCCCAAGGAGAAGGAGCTGACGGCGTACCACGAGGCGGGTCATGCGCTGGTGAGCTACTTTAGCCCGTCGGCGCCCAACAAGCTGTACAAGGTGACGGTGCTGCCGCGCGGTAGTTCGCTGGGCCACACGTCCATGCTGCCGGAGATGGACAAGTACTCGTACAGCGTCAAGGACTTTTTGGCCATGATCGATGTGTCGCTCGGCGGCAAGCTGGCCGAGGAAATTGTCTACGGCAACGAGATGGTGACGGGCGGCGCGTCGAGTGTGAGTTTTCCGGCTCCTTTTTTTTTTTATTATATCTCTCTCTTCTGCCATCTACTTAACTGACATTCCACCTTTAGGACCTCGAACACGCCACGTCCATTGCATACCGCATGGTTACGCAGCTGGGCATGTCGGAAAAGGTTGGCCCCGTCCAATTCTGGAGCCGCTACAACCAGCTGAGCTCCGAGACCAAGTCGGTCATTGAGGCCGAGGTCCAGAAGACGCTGTTTGAGGCGTACGACCGCTCGCGCAAGCTGCTCGTGTCGAAGCGGAAAGAGCTCGACCTGCTCGCCAAGGCGCTCCTCGAGTACGAGACGCTGGACAAGGACGAAGTCCTCAAGGTCATCTCAGGCCAGAAACTGGCCGACCGCATCCCCGTGCCTATCGGGCCCATGCTGGTGCCCAAGACACCGGGCCCGCTGGACGTGGCCATGCCGCCCGGCCTCGGCCCAGACAGCGATGACAATAAGGCGCCGCCGCCTCCACCGCAGACCGCCACGCCATGATCAAGGGAGTGGTGGCGGTGATGTGAGGCGAGTGCATGGTGGGGGTGGCAGATTTCTATGTTGTTGGAAAGGACACGGCGAGGAGATGGGGTAGAGCGAGTGATGCGCGAAACACGACGGAGGGCTGCGATTGTAAGGCCAGGTCGCTTGGCACGGGCTCGGGCTACGAATCGAGGAGAAGACGGGACACGGGGCACTGGGCCGAAGAAGGCCAACCGTCTCTGTTGTCCAAGCGTCTACACGTGTAATTTGTTCTTGTTCTTGTATCAGCATCCCATCATACAACATCTTTTTTTTGTTTCTTTTTGTTTCTTTTTTATTCTTTTTCTCGTAATTGTTTCGTTCCTGTCTTCAACTCAATCAACCGGTGCCTCTTTCCGGATTTAATGTCATGATACGGCCGTAAAATGCCTTTTTAAAATGTCAGCACGTCAGATTCCAAATAGCGATTGATTGCAAAAGAGTGTTTTGGCGATGTATGTAGGCGCTCTATGTTGTATGCGATTTCGTGACCGGAGTCGAATATCGGACGGCGTTGGCTGTGGGCTGATCACAAAGCCGCCGAGCCGTCGGCTTTAGTGAACGGCTGTGGGTGTCTTTCATTGGTAAAAGCGACAGCAGCACTCTGCAGCACTCTGGATATCGCCGATAGATACGAGCTGCGGCGTTTAGGGGATAAGGCGCTGTGGTGACTCAGTGTGCAACAAGTCCACCGCTGGCTGTTAGTGAAGTATCGTCCGGAACGCTGTCTTAGCAGCTATACGGCAGGAGCGAGCCTTACGTCCAGCCATGCCACCAGAGCAGATGTCTGTCGTCATTCACTTACTTTGCACACCAATTGCGCAAACCGCTCGAATTGGCAGGACCGGATCCGGGCCTTTCCTGTTCCAGACTACGAAGCCCACTGGCGTCAACCTGAGAGGTGCTTCCTGCCCACGGCGACGATCGGGGAGGCGGGGCAAGACAAAGGACCAACAAGTTGCCGCCGATAGAAGGAGCAGCCGCCTCGATTCAGCTTTCCGTAATTAAGAAGCTAAAGACCGCAGCTCTTGCCCGGGAATTGGGACTTGGGACTTCCTGCCTGTAGAAAAAGTATAAGTAGAGACGACGCCGCTTCCGATTGCTACTTGATCTTATAGCTCCAGACATCTCAACAGACATCGTCACATTAACATACCAATCCAATTTCTTCAGTCTCAACCTCTTGTCACCCACCCGCTTGAGCCTCGTCTGATATCGGCCCCGCTCTTGACAGCCAGCCCTTCTCAACACTAATTGCTGACACGTTCCGTCGTAGCCATGACCAAAGTTCTTGTGACTGGTGAGATTATGCTACCCCTGTCAGATTTGCTTTTTACACAATGCGGCCTCCCTCTCGTTACTAGCAACACTAACACGCACTACCAGGCGGCTCCGGCTTCATCGCCGCCCACATCGTCGAGCAGCTCCTCGCCAAGGGCCACTCGGTTGTCACAACCGTCCGCACCCAGGCCAAGGCCGCCAAGATCTACGAGGCGCACCCCGAGCTCGGCAAGGACCGCCTGCAGATTGAGCTGACGCCGGACCTGACGCAAGCCGATGCCTTCGACAAGGTGGTCCAGGTGCCCGGCATCGAGGTGGTCCTGCACACGGCCTCGCCCTTCCACTTCCGCATCACCGACCCCGTCAAGGATCTGATCAACCCGGCCGTCATGGGCACGACGAGCGTCTTGAAGGCCATCCAAAAGTCGGCGCCGCAGGTGCGCCGCGTGGTGGTGACGTCGTCGTTTGCGGCCATTGTCGACGACAACACGGTGAACGACCCGAACCACACGTATACGGAAAAGTCGTGGTGCCCCATCACGCTCGCGGACGTCGGCGCGAACCCTGGCAGGGGCTACCGCGCCTCCAAAAAGCTGGCCGAGAAGGCCGCGTGGGACTATGTGCGCGACAACAAGCCCAACTTTGACCTGGTGACGGTCAACCCGCCCATGGTGTTCGGCCCGATTGTGCACCACCTCGACGACGTGTCCGGCATCAACACGAGCAACGAGCGGTTCGTTGATGCGATCACCGGCAAGTGGAAGGCGGGTGGTGCCGTGCCGAGCCAGGGCCCGATCCGGATCTGGGTGGATGTGCGAGACGTGGCCAAGGCGCATGTCCTGGCCGGTCTCGAGAAGCCCGAGGTGGGCGGCCGCCGGCTGTTCTGCACGCAGGGTTTCTACACGAACAACGACATCTACCAGATTCTGCACAAGAACTTTTCCGAGTACAGCGAGCAGCTGTCAGGCGTCAAGCTCAGCGAGGAGCCCGAGGAACACTTCCAGTATGACAACTCGGAGACGCAGAAGTTGCTGGGCATTGACTGGATCCCTCTGGAGAAGAGCGTGGTCGACTTGGTCAACAGCGTCAAGCCACTGCTGAAGTAGAGGCACAGAGACTCGGGATATAAGGTGTTATGCTCAAAGGAGCGAAAACGGAAATTTGCAAGCAATATATACTGAATACGTAAAACAACAATGATCATTTCTCATAATTTTGGTTTCCGGCATGTATTATCTCATCACTTTCGCCCGTATCCTGTATCCTTCCCTATGAGTCCACCTCCATCGGTTGCGGCTGGTGTTGTGCCTGTTGCAAACCAGATATCTCCTCCAGCATGCCCTTCCGCCATGCCTCATATTCCTGCTGCTTGGCCTCGCTCAGGAAATCATACCGCGTCTGGAACATGCTGTCGGCCCGCCACACCTTGGTCGGAATGCTGACGCCACCGTAGTCTCCATCGTCAACCTCACCGTCTCTGCCCTCCTCATCGCCGACGGCCCCGTCGCCCTCGGCATCGCCATCCCCGCCGCTGGTAGCCACGTGCAGGTTAGCAATGTCCTGGTACCAGTCGCTCTGCAGCCACTGGTGCTTGGACACAACGACCAGCGCGTCGCGGAACGTGCGTTTCTGCAGGTCCTGCCAGCCTTCCCAGGCGCTGTCGTCCCGCGTGCCCACCACGCCGCGCACCTTGTCAAACGCGCCCAGGATCGCCTTTTCGTCGAGCTGGAACTGCCGCTCCTCCAGGCCACTACGACCGGCGCCGCCGGGCTGTGTGCCTGTGTGCTCGCGCCACGAGGTCATGCAGTAGAGGTAGAGTGCCGCCACAAGAGCCGTCAGGCTGTCTTCGAGCCACTCTGTCATGTCTTCTTCGTCGTCGTCGTCGTCGTCTTCTTCTCCTTCGTCGTCACCTTCAAGGCCCCTCCGTGGCCGGTTCTGCTTCTCTTTGGCTTCAATGGCCACGTCCCGGTGAATGGCAGCCAAGCCGGCAGCGATGGTCGGTGCCAGCTGCGGGTGGCCCAGCTCGTGGCAGATGTAGCGCACGGTCGGCCGCACCCACGGCGGAAACTGGGACGCGGCTGCAGCAGGCCGTACGCTCTCTCGTGGCATCGCCTGTCCCGCCGCAGACTTTGAAGGCGTGTTGACCTGATTTGTGGCAGTCGACGCGACCCGCCTAGGTGTATTCGCCCCGCTCGGTGCTGGCGACCGTAGACTGTGGCCCGGATCGATTCGTGTACTCGACGCCGCCGCGCGCGCACCCGGAGCCGGCGCCAGGATCGTGTTGAGGTGTGTATATAAGCGCTTGTAGAGCCGCGGCTGAATGGGGGGACGCGGCTCGATCGGAGGCAAGTTGAGGCTCGTCTTGAGGCTACGACGTGTCAGTACTCCAGACCATGTCTTGGATCGCAACTTGGGTGTGGCTCTTGTTCACCCACCGATCGCATGCAATGTGCGCGCACGCGTAGGACCGCGCAATCTCCTCGTCGGCCTTGAGCGTGCTGGCGCGATGCCGCGACTGCGCGAGCAGCGAGCCGGCGAGGTCCGTCAGCTGGGGCGGGAACGGGCCATTATGTGTCGGCAGCAGCGACCGAAGAGCGGGCTCAGCTGATCGGTTCATCTTGGGTGGTTATGGAGGAGTGGTTGAGCGTGTTAAGGCGGTACGTCGTTGAGGCTTGATCTCGTCTGCTGGCCACATTTTTGCTCCATGCGCGCCTTTTCACACTTGGCATATTCAGGGACGTGTTCCAGCGTCCATTCAGCGCGTCGCGCTATGACGTAGCGTGGGAGGTCCCCTAGATTGGCCCAATCGACAGAGCTCCATTCCGCTAAATGCCACCATCCGGCGCTGTCCTACACCCACACAGCTCACCCAATATGGAAGTCCACACAGGCTGTCGATAAGCAAAGACAACACTAATGGCAATGTGCAAAGGAAAAGGGGGGCCGCCGTTACGTCTTTCCACCTGGTCAATTTATGAGTGCATTTGTTTCCCAGCATCAACAACATCACACAATCCCGCCCACGATGCTACCATTACGACTTCTTGCGGCGGCAAGCTTCTTGGCCGTGGCCATGGCGCACGGCGACCACTCTCCCAGCAAAAAGCCCGAGGTTGGCGAAGACGCAGACTGGATCACAAGGCACATGGCAGGTGAGTCAATGTCAACAAACGATGCGCGGCGATAAAAGGAAACAAAATGACTAACTATTGTATCCCCCGGATAGAGGAACACCACATTGCCGACTTTGACGGCGACTCCTTCTTCACGCTGCACGATTTTGACGGCGACAGCTTCTGGACGCCCTCCGAGATCGAGCGGACCTACGGCCTCAACGACGCATCCAACGACGGCCTGGCACCCGAAAAGCGCGCGGCCGTGGCACCCGCCGTGCTAGCACTCTTTGACACGGACGGCGACGGGCGCATCAGCCGGTCCGAGTGGCGCAAGGGATTCATCGAGGACGGCAAGACGCTGCCAGACGTCGGCACGGGCCCCGGCCACCACGGCGACGACGAGTACGAGTACGAGATCCACCACTGGGAGAAGTACCACGACGAGAACACAAAGATCGAGGACCTGACGCACCCCGAAGACATTGAGCACTTCAAGTACCACGAGGAGCTCGCGGCCAAGGAGGAGGCCGAGGAGGAGGCACGGCGGGCGCGGGAGGCGATGGCCATTGTCTGGAACAATGTGCCGACAATGTTCCGGAAAGCGCGGACGCAGACGTAGTAGCATACAGGATGTTGGCATGGACGGGAGAAGGAGATAGGAGAGTGCCCAGGGAGTAATTTCTTATTTTACAGTTGCGATTGGATATAAAGACGTATAAACAGCGTTCTCATGGATAATAGAAACATGATATTTCGTATGCAAGAGGGCCCCCGGTGAGAGGATGAAACCAGCAGACACAAGACGGTAAGTAATGCAGATGCAGACCAGCGCCCGCCCACGCAAACATACAGGAAGAGAACGGGACGAAAGAAAACCAAGGAAGAAACGTCAAGATGCTACGACTGGCTCCGGCCCAAAAGCCCGCCTACAAAAAGTAGTCGCTCGGCCCCCTACGGTTAAAAGGCGTGTGGCGGAACTCGTCGGGTACGGCCGAGAAAATACGGAACTTGGACTCCAGGTTGTTGTCGACCGTCATGATGGACGCAACATTACCACACCGATAACAGTAGTTAGGTGCTGACCAGACGGTAACGACGGACTTTTCGGCGAAGTGGAACTAGAGTCATTGTTAGCAAGGCGCCATGGTTTTCGGCAGATGTATACCCACACAAAGACAAGTCACAGAAGGACTGAACCCACCTTGTATCCCTCATTGACCAGCTGGTGCGCACGCGCAATAGTCTTGAGCCCGTTGACGTGGTTGAACTCGTGCGCCACCTTGTCGCCAAACAGCCAGCCAGCACCGCGCGGACTGACTGCCCACGCCTCGATATCCTCCGGGTCACTCCACACGAGGTCGCAAAATGCGCCTTCGTGCGGGATCTCCTGGGCACGCGCGACAACACGGATCTGGTCAATGGTGCGGATTTCCGGCGACAGACCGCCGTGCACACACAGCACCGTACCGTCCACAATGGCCGCCAGCACAAGGAAATCAAAGACTTGGCAGCACGCCTTCCATACCGACGCGTTGCCGTACTTTTGCTGGCACTCTTCGTAGAAACCATACACCTGCGTAATCTGGCGCGACTCGTGGTTGCCGCGGACCAGCACGATGCGGTCCGGGTACTTGGCCTTGAGGCACATGAGCAACGTAAACGTCTCGAGACTGAAGTAGCCGCGGTCGACAAAGTCGCCCAAAAACACAAAGCGCGCGTCGGCCGACTGCGATGAGCTCGATGCGCCCTCGGTCGTGTTGCCTGTGCGGCTGTTGTCCGCATCGCCGCCGTTGGCCGCATCGACAGCATCCCCCGCCGCCGCTGATGCGGATGCTGATGCGACACCGTCCGCTCCCTCTGCCTCGCCACCGCTACTGGCTTCGCCGTCGTCGTCGAATGCCGCGTCGTCGCCACCGCCAATCAGGCCCGCGTGCAGTTTCCTCCGTAGCCGCGGGTTGCGGATCTCCGTTGGTGGCTCAATATCCTCCGAGGTGATCACGGCAGTCATCGTCCTAGGTGCCTGCACGTCTGTCTCGCCCGGCATGCCGCCCGCTACGCGAAACAGCTCCAATAGATCGTAGAACTGGCCGTGAATGTCGCCACAGATCGTCACCGGCGTTGAAACAGGCTGAATGTTTGACTCTACGCAGCGTCGTCAGCATTTACCATCTCCCGCAACCAAAGGCACACTGTACGTGCTTCAACACTCACCCTCCATCAGCACTTCCTTCACCATCTCGCAGAGTTGCTTCATGACGGCCTCGGGCAGGTAGTGGCACTGTTTCGCCTCCTCGAGCCACTCGTCCAGGCCAGCGCCCGCAGTCAGCTTCGCCGGCCCTGGTCGTGGAACGTCGGCCATGTTATGTGTGGTGTTCAGAGTATCAAAAAGAGGTGTCGTGGATCCAGTTCCGCATGGGTCGCCGCGGTCCGTGCGTCTCGATGGCTGTCAATATCGTCGTCAACGTTTCGTCGTGATGTCTGAATCGATTACAAACACCGTATCCTTGAGGAATGATAGGGACCTGTAGCGGTACAACACGCAGGTAGCCGTCCAAGATACAAGTATTCCGAGTCTCGTCGTCTTTGTGTAAATAAAACTAATTGCCGTCCGCAGCCAGTCGTTCTTTAAATTAAGGCTCTATACGGCGTTGTCATCGATATGCTGTTTGTTGAAAGAAGTGGAAACCCGCAAAGGCATTGCCACTTTGGGGCCTAAGATTGCTTGTTTTGCTGGCGATCTTGAGCGCTGAAGTGCCTACCGCGCTAGCGCTGAGCGTTGCTCTGGCTCGTGGTCAGGCCTGGCCGAAACACGGGCAGACGGACTCGTCCTCGTGCCTTCCCTGTCAGTACCCTGAAGAGAGTTTTGAGGGGCAGAGGCTGTCGGCGAATCAGTTGATCCGCTCTGAATAGGCAGTAGGCGCTGGGCTCCACTCAGCCTGCTCAATACGTCAATTTAGGCCACTTGCGGCAAGAGCACGTAACTAACAATGGCCAATTTTCACAGTGAACAGCTCCTGCCCAGCTCCGTCGTCGTAGCGGTCGGATCCTGCTATTTCGAGCCTTTCGGAGAACGTCATGCTTCATTCACCGGCTCACGCTATTTTCACAGCCTTTGCACCTCCCGTCTCGTTCCAGTTCCTACGCCAATATATGAGAGCTTGACAACGCAACCTACACGGACTCCCGTGCTCGCCACATATGCTGCTATCACGACCGTGAGCAGCCCCGTCCCCAAATGTCGGCGCCCCAGGTGCTGTCGCGCAAGGCGAACGGCACACAGCCCGTGGCCGCCAGCAAGACAGCAGCCACGACAGCATCACAACCTACAGCCAGGGAAGCAGTGGCAACGACAACAATCTTACCGGCCGACGATGCTGGCAAACCCGCAAAAACCAAACCGGTCCAGGAGGGCGAGAAGGTGGTGATTCGTCGGCTTCCCCCCGGTCTGACCAAGGATGAGTTTCAGTCCATCCTGGGAGACGAGTGGAAAGAAGGCAACGGCAAGATTGGCTGGCTTTCCTTCCATGCCGGCAAGGTGTCCAACGAGTACGTATTGGATCCAGGTGCCTTCTTGTTACAGCGCAAGTAAAGTGTCAATTTACTTACTAGCCCAGTCATTCCAAGCCCTCCAGCCCCGCCTACGCAACCGTCCACGTCCTTGACCGGCAAGACCTCAACGCCCTATCCGACGCCGTGCGCACGGCCTCATGGTTCGACAACCGGGAAGCGTCGACCTTTATTGGTCCCCCGTCGGCCGAGTTCTCCTTGTACAAAAAGGTGCCTAGCGGAAAGCGCCGTCTGGACAGCCGGCAAGGCACTATTGACCAGGACCCGGAATTCATGGCTTTCTTAGAGGCCCTGGCCAACCCGGCTGCTGCGGCCGGTGGCAAGGACGGCGCGTCGGCTGCAGATAACAGCGACCCATCAGCCGCAGGTGGCGGCGACGACGACGGCAAATCGAAGAGCAATGCTCAGTCCACACCCCTCATTGACTTTTTGCGCGAAAAGAAGGCCAACAAAAGCAAGGAGGCAGCCCTGGCCAAGGCCGCTAAGCGCGACGGCAAGGGCAAGGGTGCGGCAGGCGACGATTCAACCAAGAAGGGTCGCGGCTCCAAAGATAAGGATGGTGCCGGTGCCGGCAGTGGGCGCGGCGACCGCAAAGAACGGGAGAGCCGGTCCGGCCGGTCTAAGGGCGGCACATTAAAGATTTTAACAAAGAAAGCCGGAAGTGCATCGGCCGCGCCTAGTGGCCCGACGCCGTCTACGGCCGCCAACAATGCGCTGGCCGCCGCCGCGGCAGCACGCGACGAGGCACCCAGGAGCCGCCGTGCGGGCATTCTGGCTGCTGCCCGCATCCTACAGCGCGACCTGGGCCTCAGTCCGGGTAACGCTCACAGACGAGCACGGGCCGCTGCTGCTGCGCAGGCCACGGCGCAAACTGAAGCCGACTCAAAACCCAGCGGAGCTACCACTGGTAAAGGGGACGGCAAGGGACAGAAGG